AAACAACCTAGATGCCCTTCAATGGAAGAATGGATGAAGAAAGTATGGAATATATACACATTAGAGTACTAAGCTGCGATAAAAAACAATGACTTCTCGAATTTTGCATGCAAATGGATGGAAATAGAAAACAGTATCCTGAGTGAGGTATCCCAGACCCAAAAAGATGAACATGGGATGTACTCACTCATAATTGGTTTCTAGCCATAAATAAGGTTCACGGAGTCTACCATAGGTGAACCTAAAGAAGCTAAGTAAGAAGGTGAACCCAAGGAAAAACATATAGTTATCCTCTTGGCTAAGGGATGCAGACAAAATTGCCGAGGAGAAAATTGGGATCTTCGGGGTGGGGTGGGATGGGGGTAAGGGGAGACGGGGAGAGAAAAGGTAGAAGGGAAGGAGGGGGGGACTTGGGGAAACAGGAGGATTTGGATAAAGGAAGGTTGGACAGGGGAGCACGGAACCACAATTCTTAGTTAAGGGAGCCACTTTAGGGTGGGCAAGAGGCTTGACCCTAGAGGGGTGCCCAGGTGCCCAAGCTGAGGTCCCCAGTTCGTTCCTTGGGCAGCTGAGGATGGGGAACCTGAAATGACCCTATCCTAGAGCAATACTGACAAATATCTTGCATATCATCATAGTACCTTCATCTGGTGATGGATGGAGATAGAGACAGAGACCCACACTGGAGCACTGGACTGAGCTCCCAAGGTCCCAATGAGGAGCAGATGGAGGGAGAACATGAGCAAAGAAGTCGGGACCACGAGGGGTGCACCCACCCACTGAGACAGTGGAGCTGATCTATTGGGAGCTCACCAAGGCCAGCTGGACTGTGACTGAAAAAGCATGGGATATAACCGGACTCTCTGAACATGGCGAACAATGAGGGCTGATGAGATGCAAAGGACAATGGCAGGGGGTTTTGATCCTACGTAATGTGATGGCTTTGTGGGAGCCTAGCCAGTTTCGATGTTCACCTTCCTAGATATGGACGGAGGGGGGAGGACCTAGGACTTACCACAGGGCAGGGAACCCTGACTGCTCTTTGGACTGCAGAGGGAGGGGGAAAGGAGTGGGGGGAGGGGGAGAAGGGTGGGAGGAGGGGGAGAAGGGTGGGAGGAGGGGGAGAAGGTGGGAGGAGGGGGAGGGAAATGGGAGGCTGGGAGGGGGTGGAAACTTTTTTTTCTCCTTTTCTCAATAAAAAATAAATAAATAAAAAAAATAAATTTAAGAATCTAAAAATAGGTAAAGTGGTAACAGAGGAAGATGGGATAATTAGAAAAATACTGAAAGTATGTATCATACTTCCAAGAAAGAGAATAAACAAAATCTTGTCTTTTCAATATTTATTGACTTTCTTCAAAATTCTCAGCCATAGTTGCCTGTGTAACTGGGCTACAGGCCAATGGGATGGAATGCTGGCCTTTATTCTGAATTGTACTTCAAAGTAAAAGATTTCAGTGTGAGAAGAAAAATAAGTATATTTAAGAAAAGAAAATTAAGTAAGACTTTAGAATTTATAGACAAGTAAAAATATAACAATAGTTAGAAATTATGCCTAGCATCCCCTCCCACCACTGCCAAATGAAAAGTGTTTGCTTGTTTTAATGTGACTTCACTGTAACATAGATTGAAGAGGGAATCACACAGGATCAACTGGCAGTGGAAGAAAAGCTTTTCACAAAATGTATTGTTATTCATTTCTTTTAAAAAGAAGTCAAAGCATGATGAACGCATGCTAAAAAAGAATTCATAAAGAATAGTGGAATGAACCTAGAATTCACATAACAAACAGAATATAAACAATGGATTCTACCTATCAGAATCAAAGAGATCCCATCTAACACAAGAGAAAATCTGCAAAAAGATCTGAAGAGGAAAGGTTCAGAAATCAAAACAGAGGGTGACTAAACACACCAAAGACGTACAGATTCATGGGAAAAAAGAGAAAATGTAAACTATAACCGCATTACAATATTTTACATAAGCAGACATTATATGTAAATAAAATAAAATGGAGTGTCATTACACATTGCTATTTTAAATACTCTCATCAAGTGAAAAATGATTTAGCAGTTACAAAGATGAACGGGTGCATAATTTAGCATGGGGCAAATACAGTACTAGGTAGATGCCCAAGAAATGCCATACACATGCACAGGAGTGAGACTACACACCATTACTTCCTAATGGAAAGACAGTACTGGCAGCAAGAACTTCAATGTCTTTTAACAAGGAAAGACAGAAATAACCTGTTTTAATTATACAATGGAAAATACATAGAAGTAGACCTTTCTGAACTTGGTAACATGCAAATCCCTGAAACCTGAGAGAAAACTTCAGTCTCAGAAAAAAGTCATTAAATCAGCCTGAAAACCTAGGTTCCTAGTTCATTGACTACCTTGAAATATCCACACAGTGAAACAGAAGGAAAGCAACTCAGTTATGGCTCAGAGAGGACAGTGGTCACCCCTTGAAGAGAATAGAATAAATACTCTATCTTTGCTAGGATGGTAGTCTCATGCTCATTAACATTGTACCTTTATTCATAGGCTTCCTATAACCAAACATATCAACATCCCTAAGTGTCAACTATGAGAAAAGGAAAGGTAATGTCCTTTGATTATAGCTAGTATCCACTTATGAGTAAGTACATACCATATTTATCTTTTTGGGTCTGGGTTACCTCACTCAGGATAGTGTTTTCTAATTCCATCCATTTGCATGCAAAATTCAAGATGTCACTTTTTTTTTTCCCACTGAGTAGTACTCTAATGTTAAATGTGCCACATTTTCTTTATTCATTCTTCAGTTGAGGGGCATCTAGGTTGTTTCCAGGTTCTGGCTATTACAAATAATGCTGCTATGGACATAGTTGAACAAAGGCTTTTGCAGTGTGATTGAGCATCTTTTGGGTATATGCCCACGATTGATATTGCTGAATCCTGAGGTAGGTTGATTCTCAATTTTCTGAGAAACTGCCATACTGATTTCCAAAGTGGTTGTACAAGTTTGCATTCCCACCAGCAATGGATGAGTGTTCCCCTTACTCTACATCCTCTCCAGCATAAGCTATCATTAGTGTTTTTGATCTTACAGGTGTTAAGATGGTATCTCAGATTTGTTTTGATTTGCATTTCCGTGATAGCTAAGGATGTTGAACATTTCCTTAAGTATCTTTTGGCCATATGAGATTCTTAAATTGAGAATTCTGTTTAGTTCAGTACCCCATTTTTTTAATTGAGTGATTTAGAATTTTAATGTCTAATTTCTTGAGTTCTTTATATATTTTGGAGATAAGTCCTTTGTCTGATGTGTTGTTGGTGAAGATCTTTTCCCATTCAGTAGGCTGCCTTTTTGTCTTATTGACTGTGTCCTTTGCTATAGTTCATGATTGTAAAGAAGCTAAGTAATAAGGTGAATCTAAAGAAAAACATATATAGACCCACTTGGAATTTGTAAATAGACAAGATTGCCTGACAAAATTGGGAGCATGGGGGTGAGGGGAGAAGGGAGGGTAGAAGGGGAAGAGGAGGGGTGAAGGGGAGGGTTGAGGAGTACTTGAGGGAATGGGATAGTTGAGATGGAGGAAGGACAGAGATGAGAGCAAGGAAGGAGATATTTTGATTGAGGGAGCCATTATGGGGCTAGCAAAAAACGTGGCACTAGAGAAATTACCAGGAATCCACAAGGATGATCTCAGCTAAGACCCTGAGCAATAGAGGAGAGGGTGCCTGATCTTGCCTTGCCCTGTAATCAGACTGATGATTATCTTAACTATCAACACAGAACCTTCATCCAGCAACTGATGGAAACAGAGGCAGAGACCCAACATCAGAGCACTGGATGGACTGAGCTCCCAAAGTTCAGTTGAAGAATGGAAGGAATGAGAATATGAGCACAGAGGTCAAGACCATGATGGGTTCACCCACTGAAACAGTTTACCTGAGCTAATAGAAGTTCACCAACTCCATCCAGACTGGGAAGGAACAAGCATAGTACCAAACTAGTCCCTCTGAATGTGTATGGCTGGGGCAGACTGAAGGGCCGCTGGCAATGGCACCAGGAATTATCCCTACTGCATGTACTGGCTTTTTGGGATCCTATTCTCTTTGGATGGATAGTTTGCTCAGCCTAGATACAGTAGGGAGGGCCTTGGACCTTCCACAAAGCAATGTTTCTTACTCTCTCTGAGGAATGGATAGGAGTGGTATGGGAGGTTGTGTGGAGGGAATGAAAGGAGGGTAGAGAGTGGGAACTTGGATTGGTATTTTTTTTTAAATCTAATAAGTTAAAAAAAAAAAGAAAGAAAGAAAAGGAAAGGAAAGGCAATTATGGTCCAGTGAAACGACATTAAGATCCCTGGAGGAAGAAAACAGTAACTTTAAGTGTAAAAGGAGTAGCCAAGAGAAGATAAGAGAAGACGCTTTCAAAGCACAACCAACATCAACCATCCTGTTTTGAGGCTTCTTCTAGCTGTTTACAACCTAGATCACTGTTTGCTGTAAGGTCATTTGCCTGTCTGCCCTCCTCTCTCTGCCCTGTTCCTCCTTCACAGCTTCCCTTGCCTTCCCCCAGCTTTGTACTCCTGATATGCCCTACTCTCTTAGGTTTTTCATTCTTTAGTTTCTAATCACTTTCTACGAAGCATCATATTTCCAATTGTCCCTCTTGCCTAGGTCAGGAGCACAAATGCTGAGAGCTCTGCGGTTCTGGACCTGCGTGCCTCACGTGCCCAGTGAGCAGATATTTCATTCACTCTAGGAGGCGGCTCCGCAGGCACACAGGGACGTAGGTCTGGGCACAGGGTCACCAAGATAGTGAAATCCAAATTAAAACTTCCTTGGTAGTTTATTTAACAAGGTCAACTGTTATCAGTTTTTGGAAGACACTTACGCTCATGAAAGAATCATGTTATAACCTGCTTCATAAATGAACAAATCAAGTATCAATCAGAAGTTTATTAAGGCCACACTATGTAGAAAACAAACAAAAAGTATTACCATGTGTATATAAATGATCTTCCGTAATTTACTTATATCAATGTATCCCACAACATATACTGCAAATAATGATGAAATCTGAAATCAAAAGAAATTATGTTAAAAATAAAAATCATATATATACATACATACATAAAACAAGTAGTAATAAGAATAAAGACAAGATTAATTTATTATACCAAATTATCTTTATACAGAGTATCTTAGTTTTCCTTCCAACTGCCAATTTATTATTGAATATGATTATTAATTGATCTTTCACTTATACTGCTCTCCTAATATGCAACTATGTGAAGTATCTACTCTGTGGAGAGTCCAAAACAACACTCATTTTAATATCAGGCTGGCTCTACTGTCAATACATATAATTAAAATGTCCTCTGGCCAATCAAACACTTGAAAATATAATTATAACATGACCACTAGGACAAAATTGCAGAAATCACAGTAAAGTAAAAAGCAATTAGGTGATGTGTATTTATACAGAAACACATTAAGTCTTCCTGTCACCTCCATTAGCATTATGAATAATTCAAATAAATGGTCACAGGCTAGTTGCAATCAAATGTGTCAAGTTTCATATTTAAAAAAATAATACATATAACTTTCTTTTCCACCTGAAGAAAATCTTTTATGAAGAATTCTCAAATTTATCACAAATTCTAAAATTATTAGATTTAGATGGATTCACTGATTAAATGATACTCCAGCTCATGTAGAGAGATACCATGTCAGACAGTGTCTCTCTACCCTTTTCAAAGGGAAGTCATTCAAATTAAATTCTGCACCTCTTCACATACATATGGAAACACTGCCTAACAGGTAAATATCTGCATATAACCTATGTTCCAACTATTAAGCTTCTTTTGTTTGATCTTTTAATTTCCAAGCTCTTTACAGCAAATGTTCCTACTGATAAGAAAACCACGGTTTCTTTTCCCAGCTACCCATGTGGACTGCTCCAGGGTGACTACCCTGTTATGACTGTGGGCAGGTGTGTGCTGTTCTGCATTAGCCCCATGAGAGGCAGGATACACCTGTTCCTTTCCTCATATCCCTCCACTCCCCACTTAGTGCAGGCTATCCCACTGCCTGGAAGCAACCGAAAGGCCCCTTCTCACCCCCTGGAGCCGAGCCATGCACTGATCACTACAGAGCACAATCTCAGATTCCAAGGATAACTCAGCCCATACAATGAATTTAAATAGAATCAAACCAAAGAAGAAAAACAAATCCCAAAGATCAGTTCAAAGAAGATGTATATAAACCCAACTGACTTTTGGTTTTTAAATAATGAAAAGAGCAATTAGCGAGGCCCAGGGAAGGAGCGGCTGTGAACCCAGCAACCAGGAAGCCACAGCTAGAGGACCATCATTAAGGCCACCAAGATTCTCCCTCAAAATGTAAAACAAATCAAAACAGTTGACCTACTGACATCTGGCTGAGTATGTATACACACTAATATATGATGCTAAACCAACCTCAGAAAGTGAGGACTTTCATTCCTGTGTTTCAGAAATGATAAATCTGGAACAAAGAAAAGCTAAAATTTTTATTTTCTTTCTTTCTTTCTTTCTTTCTTTTCTTTTGTTTTGCCTAAGAAGGTAGTAAGTAGTTAAAACTCAAATCCAGATATGCCTTTATTTCTAAGGCAAGACATCTGAGTATTTAAAGCATCTCTCCAATAGTGTTATATAAGTATGGCAAGCATATTTTCATAAACAGCAAGTATAAAAAAAACCTGAGCCTACAAAACCCTCCTCTCTCAGAGGGCTCCTTGCTTTATAAACCCAGACGAGAGACATGGGAATACATGGAAAGATGATAAATTGCAGAATGTTAGGGGAGCCACATAAAACATGAACTTATTGCCTGTTCTTTCTTTTAGCATGCTGTGGGATAACCCCTGTATATGCTGCATGTTTTATTATCATTGGTTAATAAAAAAGCTAATTTGGCTAGTAGCCAGAGAGAATAGATCCAGGTAGGAAATCCAAGCAGAGATACAGGGAGGAAAAGGGCAGAGTCAGGGAGACGCCAGCAACTACATGGGATGCAAAATGTGAGTTAACAAGCTATAAGCCTCCTGGTAAATACAGACTAATAGAAATAGGTTTATTTAAGTTGTAAGTGCTAGTTAGTAAAAAGCCTGAGCTAATAGGCCAAAACGTTTGTAATTATTAAGCCTCTGAGTGATTGCTTGAAAGGCAGCTGAGGGATCAGGTGGGAAAAGCCTCCACTTACATTATCCCACACATACTGATTCTTCATGTAATGATTTAAGGCAGCCCCAGCAAAAATCCCTCAATGGACTGGGAAGGAGTTCTTGAAGTCTCACCCTTATTGGAAGATCTATTGGCAATTGATGACTAGAAGCAGTCAGTTTCCTTCAGAGATTCAGGGCCCTGAGATGCTATTCTTGGGTTGATGATCGCACACTCATGCACATACAGACAAAACTAAAGGCATTCAGCTGGCGTGGGGGCGAGGTTGAGCACATGAAGTGGGGGCATGTGAGTATACAAGCACACAAACTGGGAGAGAAAAGTGGTAGTAGGGAGAAAATGAGAGGAATTCAAGGGAAGAGAATGGATTTGATCCAAATAAATAATACACATGCTTGAATGTCAGTAAAATATTTAAGGAACTATTCATAGAAGAAACATATTTTCCTCAAGAGAAGTACTTTAGACTGTCCACTAGTTTTCTTTTTAGCCCTCTAATAATTATGGAATAACAAAGATAAGCATTCTTATAAACTTGGTTTTACTAGTAAGTAATAATATTCATTAATAAATTAATCTCACAAAGATTCATACTCTGAATTTTCTTTAAAATAATGAACAAGAAATATCTTCAGACTCATGAAACAGGAAGAATTGGTCTGCTCCAGAAATGAAGACAGATGGGCAGTCAGCCCAAGTCCATATATACATCTGGTGTTCCTGATAAACACCGCAGAGTGTATTTCTAAGTGTGTGTGTGAGAGAGTGTGTGTGAGTACGTGTGCGTAACATCAATACAAAAGTAATAAAAGAGCATGAATCTGAAAGTGGACATGGAGAACTTGGATGGAGAGTAGAAGAATGGTGTTAATGCAGTACTCACATATGAAATTCTCAAAAAAACAACAAGGAAATCTTGGTTACAATTTTATACAGATGAGCTTACATAAACAGAAGCACCAAGTCCAAATATGCCAGTTTTAGAATGTGCCCACCTTACCTGAGTAAGAAGCACGAACTGGGCAAACTGCCAAGGAAGCATGAAGAACACATTGGAAATGCAGAGTGCAATCAAGCTCCCTCTGTAAAGTTTTGTAGCCCTTGAAAAGATAAATATCAGGAGGTTTAACTACAAAACAGTCCAGCATAGCTCCAAACTGCTGCCAATCAGAATCACAAACAGGACCTGGGGTTCACATAAACTGCATGCAAGATGAACCAATGGGTTAGAAATTATACCTTCTGATTTTCAATTATAATAATTTTCTGTAAAATGTAAATACCTATTATTACTGCAAAACCACAAGCCCTGCCATATAAAGGGAGGCAGGCCAGGTGAATACAGTCATTACTTTTCTTCACATTATATTTTAGTGAATTTATAATAAGACTTCTTAAAAGTTAAGTCAATAGATTCATTAGTTGGAAAAGTAAGGGAGTGTCTAGGAGAAATGACAAAGTGGCATATTCTATAAGCTAAGCAGTGTGAAGTCAAACACGGCAGGGATGGGAGGCTGGGTAAGAGAGAGTGAGGTAAAGTAGCATAAAAGCCAGTCTTCTGGAGATGCACCTTGGGAAAGAGAAGGAGAGGCAAAGGAAGGGGCTGTGCTGGAACCACCGTTAGGGGTGTCATGTTAGGGCCAGTGAGTACTTTAAGAGACTTTCGGGAACAGCCTTTACTCCCACATATGAGCTGATGCCAAGCCCTAAGTCTACTATCTTCTTCACAGAAAAAGAGTGTGCAGACCAGCACACTGAGGGGAAAAGTAGGCAATATAGGAACACCACCATTGATGCCTTCCTCGACTACTTTCCTGAGGAACTAACCCAAGTATTATTAAATTCCAGACAACCTTACAGAATCAAGTAACTAGAGGAAAATCAGTACTTTTGATGAAGCAGAAAAGACAGAACATGCTGGCTGCACCGTAGAACAGGGCTCTAATCTGTGAAGCTTCAGCTTCAGCTGTGTGCTTCCCATCACAGAAATGGGCTGGACCACAGAGAACACTTACTTCGAATATGATAGACCACACTGTGAAATAAAGCAGTTTTCTATTGCTTTTGAATATGAGGCTTGACTTACATTTTATAGGTAACAAGGGAAACTATGGATTTAGGGATAGAATGTAACACTAACCTGGCAGCTGGGTACAGACGCACTCAAGAGAAGAACCAAAAGAAACCAAAGGAATTCCAGCTGGTAGTGATCAATACACCACTAACTTTGGACAGGAGAAATGAAAACATAAACATTACTAAGAACAATCGAGAAAAAAATAGATGCTATGGCGCTGGGGGGGAGGGGTCGCGGTGTCTGTAAATCTGGATTTCAAAAACACAATTCTAGACCGCAAATCAATTTGCTGAACTAAAACCTCTTGATAACCTCATTTCTAAGGTATTCCTGCCCTCAAAGAGGTGGTGGGGAGCACATGCCACAGAAGAACCCTGATGAAAACCTCAGAAAAAGCAGTAATCCCAGAAAAAGCAGGCCACAGCAACAGGAGCAGCAGTGGGCAGAATGTGCCTGAATCCTTGAGCCCGTGAGGACAACACAGGACGTGGCAAAGGGGAAGAGGGCTGCAGGCAGAGTTAGGATTTCTAGTCACCTAGCCCAAGGACAGGGAGAGGATGCTGGTTATCCCGCTGGGCCTAGGGCAATTACAAGGTTCTTGGAAGCAGAAGGAAGCAGAGGAAGGCCGAGTAAATGTGGGGAAGGAAGGGCCCAGTTCTCCATTGCTGGCTTTCATGATTTAAAAGGAGTCAATATAAAAAGAAGAGCTGCAGAATCAGGGAAACTGATTCTGAAAGGCCCTAGGAAGAATATAGCCCTGCCAGAGCCTGCAGGTTGGGTCCCCTGCCCAGACAGATACAAGGTTGTAAGTACGGTCTACATTGTTTCAGCCTCTCAGCTGCCACCCATCCACAGCTCATGAGAGAGAGGGAGGTGGGTAGTGAGAGAGGGAGAGAGGAAGGGAGAACAAAGAATGAGAGGCTCATTCATCCTCATCGGACTCAACAGAAGCAGAAAGAGAAGTGACTAGACACTCCTGAACAGTCTAGTGCCTGTACACGTGGGGGAAAGGCAAGAATGGCCTTATGGGTGTGGAAATGGCTCCTGCGGGTGAGCTGAGGCGGGCTTGCAGTGCAGCACTCCCTGCAGAGTGCACAGAAGTCCTGTCTCTCAGTCCCAGAAGCAAGCAGGCAGGGCTGGACCTCATCTGGAGATGCAAAGAAATGCCCAAACCTATAATAGTCAAGGACTTAAGGGTGTAACACAAATTCTAATTGGTCTTAATAATAAAACCCAGACTCAGATATTAGGGGGTGAAGGTTGAAGGATCAGAGAATCAGGGAGGCCAGCGATAGAAAGACCTTTAACTCTACTGATGCTCAGACCAGAGGTGATCCTGTCCTCAGACTGCTTCCTCTGACTGACTCCTTCAGACTGCACCTCAGATAGCATTTTCAGACTACATCTCCAGCCTACACTGAGCTTCTGTCTCCTCTGGCCTTATATTCCTCTCCCTGCCCAGCCATATCCCTTCCTGTCTCCTCCTACCTAGTGCTGGGATAAAGGCATGAGACTCCCAAGTACTAGGATTAAAGGTGTAAGCCACCACCACCTGGCCTCTAGTGACTTAGCTCTGTACTCTGATCTTCAGAGAAGCTTTGTTAAAACACAAATAAACAAAATATCACTATACTTTCCTTTTTTTTGTCTAAAATCAAAAGGTGTTATAACTAATATAAGAAAACTATATACAATAAGTACAATGACTATATACAATTAATACATCAATGATGCCTAGTCCATTTACATTTGACAAATCCTGAGAAAATACTCCATTACCTATCCTACCTTGGTGGGTCCAAAGTTGTGTACCTAATTTATTTTCTATTATAATTAGCATTATCATCCAAAACTATCTTTTGATGTCTCTCAACCTTATACACTTTACACCCCTTTAGTGAGTTTCTTTTCTGAGTCTGGTAACAAGGAAAACTACAGCTATCTAGTCCTCAACTCCCCCAGCGACCCAAGCAGGAAATAATATTAACTGAATAAGCAGGAAGTGCAAACAAGAGATTTCAAAAAAAATGTGAGAAATGACAAAACAGACAGCTGCCTGGACAGTCAATCAAATTTCCTCTGCAACCTTTCGGGCATCTGTCTTCAGCCTACAGGCCTAGAATATCTGACAGACTTTTCTATGAAGCAGGGAGGGACTTTGAAGGACTATGTCTCCTTTTCTGGGCAAGGTTTGGCAGCCACTCTCTTTTGTGTCCTCTTTGTCCAATTAGGACAGCACACTGTCAGCAGCTGACACAAGGGCATTTGCTGGCGGTATGTGGATTTTTAAAAGCTCACAACATAAAAGCCATCACTCATTTGACCTGTGAAAGGTCTATCTCATGAGACTACAAGAGACACAGGAAGCTGTGCACAGGCCCTGACTTCTAAGTACATTACAGAAGCAAATGCCCAAAGGGTTTAGCAGAGCAACTTTCATTGTCAGTCTTCCAAATTCAGAAGACCACTGAGTGGAGTTCTCAGACTAAGACAGCTTCACATTTGTACAAGCTTTGACCTGTTTTTCACAGACTCTATTCTATGTTTGTGATGCATGTCTAAACCCAGCATGTGTCCACTGAAAGAAAAGCTGCTCTTACTCGTTTTCAGCGGAACTTAAACCTGCCTGGGCTCCTAACTAAGTCTAATTCAATTCTGGATTTCTAGTGGGAATTCACCTAGCATACCTTTAGTGTATGTAGGCTGTTTCTTTCTACCACTACTGTCTGATATTCAAACTCTCAAGACGAACTCCATGTGTTAGTGTTCCCAATGATGAGTCTATGAATTCTTCTTGTTCCAAAAGACTGAGTCCTACAGGATGAGGCTCAGCATGGTCAGCCTCTTCCTTCTCCTGGCAACTGGCATGGTACAAGAGAAAGGCTAGGAAATATGGAGCGGTATAAGTGAAAGTGGGTTTACTCATCTAAGCAGTTTCCATGAACCCCAAAGACAAAGAGAACCAGAGGGCAGGTCTGTGGTACTAAGTAGTTATCAAAGTTACATTTTTTACAAAATACTTTAAAAATATCTTTATTCATTCAATAACAAGATCACACCCTTACTAAGGAAACTTAAGGCATTCTTTTAAAATAAAACTTGTAGCTTCTAGTTTAAGTTGGGGGAAAATAAAGCTCCAACAGCAGAGTCAATGAAAGTTACCTCAGGATGTGAGTCACAAGCAACATCTGAAGTACAAGGAATGGATATGAGAAGCTTTCCCGGAGAGGAGGCGTCCACATCACTCGGGTACACTGAAAAACAAACAGCCAGAGAATGTACCCACTCCAGGTACAAGATGCAAGGTACAATCAACAAACACAAATTATTCCCATGTGAACCTTAAATGGTGCACTGCAAACATGCTGTTGCGTTTTCTCTACACAGAAACACTGCAAAGGGAGAGGAATTGCTGGGAAAAGACGCATGAGACTCAAGACGCATAAGGAGCATATGGACGTCATACTGTCCTCACTCCTTTGTCCATCAGTACAACTGTTGCTGATTCTGTCTTGGGCACTGTGACTAATGCTGTGGTAAACACAGGATTGTGGGTAACCTTTGATAAAAGTTTTATTTCCTTTGGAGATACACCTGAGGATAAAATGGCTACAAGTTAGTTAGTATTGGTTAAAACAAGCTGTATTTCCAAACAGCTAGAGGTAAGACTGTTCTTAGCAGAGAGACACTCGGTGCTGGGGGAAATGCAAGTGCTTACAGTTTAAACCATGATCTCTAAATACCATTTTCCCCAATAGGATCAAGACTCTGTGGAAAAGGTTGGTCTTGTATCTTGAGACAAGGTTATCATGAGACATCCTTTAAACCAGAAAGTGTTCAAAGACTGAAAGAATGTATTGAAGAAGTGAAATGCCCCAGCCTTTCCCAGAGAAGCTCTTGATGCCATTACCAGCAGTAAATGTAGACACAGGGCTACCATAAAGTGAAAACTGACTGCTCTGCCCTAAAAGGGACATTTATCACCTCTGCTGGGGCTCAGAGAACATCCTGGAAGACAGTATGGGAAGAACTTAAGAGTCACAAGACAGGGAGAAAGGCTATGAAAAGTTGTTCTCTGTGCATGAACAACCACTGCAACTACGGCTGCCTGCCCTGCCCAAACAAAGCTGGGCCAGTCAGCAGCTGATCACAAATCTTGGAGGAGCTCATGGGGCCCTTCTCTCCGCTGCACTAGTGGCTACTGAAAGTCCTGGGGAAAGGCAAGTCAATGTCTTCAGTTGTGTACCGCTGATGAAGCCACCAGGTTCAAATGGAAAGTCTCAGATACACAGTGACACTGAAGTTCCTGGCTAAATTCATGGAGGGGCTCACAGAACAAAACACGCAGACACTGGATGAAGAAAGCAAAATGCTGTAGCTATGATATGGTCCTGTGGAACATGCTCACAAGAACTGCAACATTCTTGCAGCTTCCACATAGCAAAAGAAAGAACTCAGACCTGTACTGGCAAAAACTTAATAGACACTTCAGGAAAGAGAAACACGACATGGTTGTACTATGTATCAGAACCAACTGGGAAAGTGCACAAGCTATTCCTGCACTCACTCAGAAGGAATGAAATTAGGAGACTAAACCCTAAACACTGACGGGGATGGAAATGAAACTGGATTCCTGTACAATGCTGACAGTGAGAGTTGGTACTTTCACAGACAATATGGGTAAATACCATAGACACAGGTTGAGAGGAAGGAGTCAGGCACAGAGTATGACTCTAGCACTAGGATGTTACCATCTAGCTGGCAACTGAGCAAGAGCAATGGCAAAAGTCAAGATCATTTTGGGTGTCTGTGGGGCCTCCCTGGTCAAACTAGTGGGAAGGTGGCCTGGGACGAACAATGAGATTTGCACCTATGAGTACACATCTGTCTTCTGGGAGCAGCACTGTTTATACATGGGGGCACCTCTACTCAAGCACCTTTAAAAACAGTAAAATAATGTTAATAGCTTACAGAGTACTGGGTTTTCTTCATACAGCCTTAGTTTCAGATAACCCATCCCATAACCCTCCTTTCCCCTGTCCCCTGTCCCAAATATCCTCCCATTCCTTGATGTTACATGTGTTCTACCATCTTATCCTTTTTACTTGAGATACACGAACACAGATTTCCATACAGCTTTTTCATACACACTCCATGTTGGTTGACCTTTCTCTTCCCTCTCAATTCCTCATTCCCATCACTCTAGACCTGCATCAACTCTTCTGCCTCTAGTATTTCCCTTCCTACTTACAGAACAGAAAGAAAGAAATCAAGTTTGAACTGACCATGAAACTCCCTTCTGGATGGCTAGCCATTCAGGTAGTGCTCAAAGGTACTATACAGGGTACTGGGGAAGAAAATGCACCAACAGCTTTATCCAGTGCTAAATCCTGTATGCTACAATACCAATACCAACCTGGCAGGCCAGTGTGTTCACTGTTGCTATAGTGGCATGATTGTCATAGGATTAACAATTTGGTTCTGTAAACTAAACCAAACCTGAAGACTATAGAAGTCACAGGTCTACAATAGAAAGCAGTGATGTTCTTATGCTAAATGTTCATACTAACAAACTGCCTTATAAATATTTATGCTCACACCCACAGATTTGTGCTAGTCTCAAGTATAGCAGAAGAAGATTCTTATTGTGTGTGGGTAATGGTTAGGTCAGACCCATAACTGTTCAAAGTGCTAAGAGTAAGAGACTATAAGTACCAAGTTGTTTTATGGGACGTCTAAATCAACCTGTCCCTACCCCCAAGGCCCAGGGGTCACCACGGAAGAGGATGTGAGCTGGAGGATGGGGAGAAATGCTATTAAGCAGTCGTCTAGACATGACTTGGCTACTACACACACAAAGTCATAGCAGCTAAAGCTACCTGCACAATCCAGTTAAAGATTCCAGCATGAATGTGGGAGGGGCTCCCAAAGCCCCATACCTAGCTGAGGAGCTACTGCTGGGTGACGGTTGCTGGGTGAAGGAGAGCCGTTTTTCTGGAGGGTGCTAAGTTGCTAAGTTGCCAATGCCTCAGACACATGTACTTATGGGCATCTCTGATTGGACTCAATGGACTAAATTAATAACAATAACAATAACAATAGTAATAGTAATAATTATAATTAAAAAGAGCAATGAAGTGGGAAGAGAGATGTGCTGGAAGTTTCTAGGGGGAGCTGGAGGTCAGGTAGACATGACTAAGATATACCATTTACATGTAAGAAATTTTCAAAAAAAATACTATTTCAAAAAAGAAAGTAGGAATCCATTTCTGTAAAGTTTCAAAAGTACCACAGCCATCAATAATGACAGAGACAAGAGTTATTTCCCTTGGAGGAAGTTAAAAGTATAGATTGAAAAAGGTCATGGAAATGCCTGCTGAGGGCTAAAGTCATCTGTATCTTACTAGTGATTCTCAACCTGTGTGTTGCAACCCCTTGGGATCACATATCAGATATCTCCATTATGATGAAGTAACAACAAAATAATTTTATGACTAAGGGTCACCACAGCATGAGTGTCACAGCGTTAAGAAGGTTGAGTGGCTACATAATTGGGTACATACGTAAAATCTGTTCGGCTTGACAGTTACCACATGGGATATTAATATATGTAAATTATTTAACATTTAAAGTCAAGGTTACTATTGAATCTGTAATGATCTGAATATCAAGAGTTATGATGACAGGTTATAGAACACTACATATAAAAAGAATCCAAATATATAGTAATGGTTAAAAAAGTTCTTTATAGAACATCAGTTATTAATCACAGATGAAATAAGAGAATTAGAAAACTGCCGTTTTCAATTGCCAACAGAGTAAATGACTCAGGCAGTGACCACCAATGATGTGGGCATTTGGTCAGACACTTTAAGGAAACGAGACATTCTATATCTCAAAGCATCAAGACATACACTTCTTATTGTTGTAAAAAAGAAAGGAGCATCTTCCCAACAGATAAACTGACTTCTACCACCTGAACCATGGGAGGACTGCTTGAAGAAATCCAATTATGTGGCCAACTGGTCTCATAAGACTCAGTGTATTACAATAAAAATAATATATCCGCTACAGTCTTCAAAAACTGTCTAATTGGGACCTGCTGATGAGGAAACCCACAAGTCGGAATCGTGGAGCCTTTATGAAGCAGTAGGCGTGCGTTCTTAAAAGAGTGCCCACTTGGCTGGACAGAAGAAGAACTGTACTAGAAGCATTCAAGATAAAACGGCAACTAGGAGCCATGTGTGGTCTTAAACCCTGCATCCAAACCAAAAGCATAAAGGAACTGACTGGGATACTGCGGAAAGTTGACTGTGGATTATAATATATGATCACCGAGTCTCAAGCATGAGTCATGACAGTGAAGGAGCTTTCAGGCAGCATATTCCAAGGTATAAGGGAAGATGCCATCAGGCCTGCACCTCACATCCAAAGGGAGCAGGGAATTGCTGGTCTGGGTAAGCTGCAAGGGACAGAACAGTAAGAAAATGCAAGAGAGAAAACTGGTAACTGAAGAGCTAGCGAGGTGGCTCATCAGGTAAATGCACTTGCCCCAGTCCTGAGTTCATGACCTGAGGTCAATGCCCAGGACCCACGTGAAAAAGGAGAAGGCCAACTTCTGCAACTTGTTCAGACTTTCATACATGGTATATGCTGTATGAACATGAACACACACACACAAACACACACAGACACAGACACACAAAGGAAAACTTTAAATTTTTAAAAAACTGGTAAATGAAAGTGAAGGTAAACATGCTCTTACTCAAGCAATATCCCCCTGCCCTATGCAGTTATTTGTACAGTTATTCTGTTAAGGCAAAAATTTCTTTGTAATATCATCCGTGGGAAAACATTTACAATATGCCAAATACGATCTACCACTGAGAGAACTAATTAATGAAAATAGAATCTAAAAGTAACTAACAAGCCACAACTATGCTCTGATATATGAGTAATTCCCTCCTGTGACTAAGGATCTCTTCAAAGACAGTGAAGTGCCAGGGCAACAGGATGGCTCAGAAGGCAGCAGCTCCTGCTGCCAACCTGCCAACCTACATTTGATCCCCAGAGTACACAGGCTAAGAGAAAGTTGCCCGATGACCTTCATGAATACCATGCAAGATGAACCGCCAACACACTCACTGAATAAGCAAATACAATTCTAAAAAGAAAGGTACTGATTAATAACCAATAGCAATTTCATTGAGCAAGGTTCTTCTACAAAAGTGGCTAGATGCGTTAATAAGTATGAGCAGAGTAGATGATTTCTGTAATACAAAACTTAGATACTTTAGAAGCATACATTCACTCATCATTCTTTTATTTGACAAGATCTCACTGTGTAGCCCTGACTGGCCTAAAATTCTCTATAGAGACCAGGCCGGCCTCAAGCTCCAGAGATCCAATTTCTTGCCTCTTGAGTGCTGAGATGAAAGGTATGCACCCAGCTAGAGACAGTTTTAAAAGATTAGAAGAAAGCAGGGACTACACCTGTCATAATCTGAAAGCCAAATGGTAAATTTATAGTACGTTTTTAAATTACTTGAATTCTGACCAATACTTTAACAAAACTATTGTGTATGGTCTAAATTTTAATGTCATATAAAAATGTTGCTTTTCTGCCCTATACTAGCTAAATAGAACATAACAATTAATTGGTCATTTCCATAAAGCTAAAATTCTAATATTCTAATTTTATTATTTCATGTACCTCTTCCTAAGATGAGCATGTTTTAAATAAACTAAACAGCTGGAAAATGTCAAGAGGAAAAATCCATCAACCTAAAAAAAAAATCGACTAATCTAAATTCTACTTTTAAAATTGAAATTCTAAGAAATAATGCTCTTGCTACTTGAGCATCAAGATTGTGAGAAAAACACAAGGAGGGGAACCAATAGCCCAGGGTCTGTGAGGGGCACAACGGTCCTCTGTGCTCAACAACACTGCCTTTCTTGCTGCATCTGGGTCTACATATTCAATATCTCCGTGCCCCAGCACCCTACTCTTAACATACAATGTTCCTTTCTTGCAGTATTAAGCAGTTACTTCCCATTTCAGACACCATTCTCATGGAATCCGCCCACAATCCAGCCTTTACAACGCTCAGTGTCCACAGCCAGGAAAGAGCCAAATCTTCCTCTTGGTTCGGTCTCACACTACTGCAAATGCACTGTTGCTGCTGCAAGGCACCCACAGGTCAAACGCTCCACCCAAAGGCCACCCTACTCCGCATTTCTGTGATTCTAAACGGTGAGTACCCATCAGTGAGAATCCGTGAGCGACTGGCTAGCGGTTCACATTGATGGCAGTTTGTGTAGCATTGCTCTTTAAACCAGTAGATGTCCAAAGACTGCAGACACTTGCGGCATGAAGACAAAAGATGCAGCATCTCACACATCTTTTTCCTCCCGCTTATAATAATCTCCACGAGAGGCCTAGATAGACATATAACTAGATAATTCATCTACAGGTATGGTTAACTCAGAGGAAGAAATTCATTGAAAATTTGAATTTATTAAAATTTTACCTGAAAACTATAGTAATAAATAAGACTACTAGTCTGGGCTAAAAAACATATGGCACTTTATTTTTTTTTAATTTATTTATTTATTAAGGATTTCTGCCTCGTCCCCACAACCGCTTCCCATTTCCCTCCCCCTCCCCTGATCAAGTCCCCCTCCCTCATCTGCTCGAAGAGCAATCAGGGTTCCCTGACCTGTGGGAAGCCCAAGGACTGCCCATCTCTATCCAGGTCTCGTAAGGTGAGCATTCAAACTGCCTAGGCTCCCACAAAGCCAGTACGTGCAGTAGGATCAAAAACCCACTGCAATTGTTCTTGAATTCTCAGTATTCCTTTATTTTTTAAACCCTGTACTAGGCACTTTACATATATGAGTTCATCTGATCTATGAAATAACTATGAGAGATGAGTAAGGTCATGATCCTATTTACAAAGCAAAGGAATGCACAGATAGATTAACTGACTTGCTCAGGTGGGACAGATGCTAAATGGAAGAGCCAGGATTTAAACCCAGGCAGTGTGGATCTAGAACTATGTCCTTTATGTTGTTACCTTTGGCTGCCTTGAAGACTTGCAAACGTACAGGCTTCGCAAAGTGTCTGAACAGGATACTTAAAAGTGAATTACTTTTGGAACATAGAAGCCACCATAAGAGCCACCAGCTTTAAAACCAGACTCACTATTTTCTCAAATTAGTGAGACTCCTGTCACTTAAGAGAACACCAGCATTTAAATTTTGGGTCAAAATAACAGGATCAAGTTCTTAAGGAACACTAGTACAGATTAAACATGAGGACATTAGTTTGAAGAAGTTGCATTCCAGCCGTGATTCTGAAAGTACCTTCTGACGACCTACCTCTCCATGATTGAAGAAGAAGCATAGCACTGTGACCAGGCCTCCCAATCGGCTGCCACTGCAAAAGAGGATAAGAAAATGTAACTCGATGTCAGAAATGTAGGTCAATCCTGAAATAAAACCTCACAATACGGTACCACGATGACCTTCCACCGCCAGACGGCTTTGGCCACAAAAACCCTTTCCTGTGCTGATTCATAAAACAGCTCATTTCTTCCAAACTATCACTAGCTCAAAGTAGAGAATACATTTTTTAAAACAACTTATCAGTTGAGTGAAGAGACGCACACCTGTGATATCCAACACTTAATACAGGCAGAAGGATCAAGAGCTCAAGGCCAGACTTAGTTACTTAGTTTAAGGCCAGAGTATGAGATCCTGGCTCAGGAAAACAAAAACAACAACTCAATTGTCACCTACGAAATGTGCACCCTTAGGGGCAGAGGGGGAAGAAAGAAAGAAAACACTGGAGGAAATCATTTAAGAAAGTTAAAGAACAGCTTTGCATGCATCTCTCCTCCAAACTCACCATTCTCTATAAGCAAACAATCCTAGTGTGAGCCTATCGTTCACATCTGACATTTGTTCTTTTTCTACCTTACCATGGAGATTATTCATAATCAGTACTAGTTACCAAAGGCACCTTCTACACCAACGTGAGATACCGCATAGTCCCAGAGTACTGCAATTTCTTCATCTATTCTTTAATGGAGTGCTGGCACCATGTTTATAATCCGGGAATGCACATACACGTACTTCTCTTATGCTGGGACAGACTGAGGTGTGAACCACGCTGGTGAGCACTGCGCCATTTCTCCCCGGTCAGCGCTCAGACTCTTCTCAAAGCCCACCCTTCAGACAGGTGAAATTCTCACAAGCTGTAACTTTGATTGTACGGAAGACCACTGTACTGCTTCAGTGTAATTTGCACAGTCCCCTTCCAGAACTGCCTGTAAATGCCCTGTGTGTTCATCTATGACTATGACTGCAGGCTTCTCCACTTAAAGACTGTGCTGACCAGTGTTTGGTTGTCATATGTCACAAATTATTTTGATACTTTACAGGGTATTCAGCTAGAACTTTAAAAATACCATGTATTTAAAAAATCCTATTTCTTCTCTATTGCATGCCTAGTCTGGGAAGGGTTTTCCAATTTCAAAATTTCATAGATAGCCACCTAAAATTTCTTCTAGTACCATGCACTTCCATTTAGATCTTTCATCCGGAGAGCTCTAATCTCTCCTCTTTGAAATCACCACTCATGCTAAAACACCAAGCAAGTAAAACTCCCTGTCTCAGAGAAATACAACCCAGCCTTTCTCATACAGTAATTTCATACAATGCTCAAATCTTTTCCAGTCTAGTTAACTGATTTAATTCTGCAGTCCTTTTCTGTCACATGGCACCATTTCCATCCTGTAAGATTCTAATTATTTTAATACATCTTAGGAAAGTTCCCAGCTACAGCCACACAGAGACTGATTTAGGTGATTCTCTGTACATAAAACAATCTAACAGGCCCCTTTCAAACATGTTGTTTGTCATGAAAATGGCACTGAATTTACTTACAACTTGTGATATATATACACACATACACACATATAAAGCAGTCCATAGTATATACACATATAAATATATACATTTATTATAAAACAGTCCATAACAAGTTATACACAAATTGAGTGCCAGTAATTCAGTAAATTCGGCACCATCACAATTCAGTATGTAAATTCAGTAAGCCAAGTGCATATAAATACACATGCATATGTAAGTAAATACACAACATGTATATATATATACATTTATGTGTATATGTATGTGTATGTATGTGTATGTGTGTGCAGTACTTATTCTGCCTGATCAACCAGTGAATATGTCACTCCCCATTTATTCAATTCTAATTATATTACTTCAAAGAAAATTTTATAAGCCAACAATATAATAGTCAGGTACTAATGTTAATCCTTCTATAAATACAGAGAATGTGTGGAAATCAAACCATGGTGGTTTTTTTCACACTTTCAGAATTGTGACAGGTCACATAAGCCAAGGAACACATGCCAGAGATTTGAAGTAGATAGCCAAAATGCTCAATTTTATAAAAATATACAGCATTCTGACTAAACAAAGAATGTGTTATTTCTTACGTCCCTAGAGCAATGAGCCTAGAGACAACTCATTCTCTGATTATAGTCAAAAACATAAGACAAAAAAAAATTAAGACCTTAATATAAAATTCCTTTTTTAAGTCTTCCCTTGTGCAAAATAGAACCCAAGCTAAACTTTTCTGACTTTAGTTTTCCTTAAAGAAGAGTAGAGGTCGCTGGAAAGCTGGAAGAGCACAAGGAAGGAGTGCAAAGCTGAGCGAATCCCGGGATGGAGCGGCCTTAGCTGCCCTGCTCACTCAGCCACCACTGGCCTGGGAGGCTCCGTGACTAGACAGTCTCCAAAGGACATGAACGGCACAGGGTCCAGTCTGGCACCACCTGTCTCTGTGTCTAGCTACCCAGGGAGACAGGCTCTCTGACCCACTTTGTAACTTCCAAAGCTCGGAGGCAGAGTACAGCTAGCTTGTCTATAAGTGATAGTCTGAGTCGAAAACATGGTTTAATGATGTGACTTGCAAAAAGTGGTGGCGCACGCCTTTAATCCCAGCACTCGGGAGGCAGAGGCAGGCGGATCTCTGTGAGTTCGAGACCAGCCTGGTCTACAAGAGCTAGTTCCAGGACAGGCTCCAAAACCACAGAGAAACCCTGTCTCGAAAAACCAAAAAAAAAAAAAAAAAAAAAAAAAAAAAAAAAAAAAAAAAAACTCAAAATTAGTGTCCCTAACACTGATCTTAGAGACTGCCACAAAAAAATTATTTTGATAAATAGAAATGTCATTGCAATCAGAATATTTAAAACTGTTTAAATTATTCTTCATTATAGTTGATATTTCAGTTTTCCTTAGTAATAAAAAAACTCTTCAGTATAATATCACCAACTGTTAGGAAGCAGGAAAGCCACTACTGTGTGAATTTATAAACCATGCTAAGCTCCTGAACATTTGCCACAGGCACTCACAGACTTCATTAGTCTTGTTATGAATGGGGTCTATGCATATGTATATGCCTATATAGACTTACAGTGTGTGTCCTCATGTGTACATATGCATATGGCGGTCAGCGGTAACAGTGGGTATTTTCTTCTGACTCTCAGTGACGCTGGAGCATCCTCTACCTGCCTCCCCAGCACTGGGGATCACACGGGTGCCTCTGCACTACCTGACTGCCTGGCCTTTACATGGCTACCAGCGATCTGAATCAGGTCAGCGTTCCAGGTAAGCTGGCATCTTACCAACTGACATGTACCTAGTCTCTTTATTTACCCTTTGAGCCTCGATGATCTTAGAAAATTAAGGAGGGGCATTAAAGCTTAAAATTTAAAAATTCTTCCTAGCTCTGAAATTTAGTAATTGTATAATAGTTCTTACTCTTTAATTGTAACAATTGGAATCAATTATCAAAATTTAATGGGTTTTGTTAATCAGAAACTGCAGTAGTACAGAGGAAGATGATGGAACATAAAATATAACATTTGAAGAGGAAAAAGCACATTTTTTAGACTACAGTAAATAACACTTGAAATGAGTTTTCCTATGTAAATACTTAATAAATGAGAAAGAAAACTGTGGAAGCTGAATGGAGAATTTTCAGTCTCAAGTTTGGGGACTAAGTCTCTGACGCTTTGCCGGCCTAGTGAAGAATCCACAGGACGGGCCTGGCTCAGAGGTGATGACCTGCTCCCAACAGCTGGGGGACTGAATGGTGCAATAAAGAGAAGACGGTGAGAGGGCTCCATGGGTGAAGGCTCTAGCCACTCAAGCCAGGTAATCCGGGCACAGGCCCCTGAACGTACACAAAGGAGGAAGCACAGAAACAACTCATGGTTTCTTCCACCCAGGCAGCAAGGCCCAGGCCCAGACAGCTATGTCACGCACACACATGTGCGCAATAATAATGACTTTAGAAGAAAAAACAAGGGAAGGAAACAACAACTAAGTATGTTAAAACAATGTCCCGGCTTGGCCCTGTGCTTACATAACAACTAGCTAACGCCTTTAATTTAACTGTCTGCTGGCACCTAAACAAACCTCCCTCTCCCCTGGTAAATGTCCTTAGAACCAGACCCGCCTTGCCCATGGCAGACTCACAGATGGCACCTGAGGGTAAACAAACACAAATGGCACATAATCAAAAGGCTGTTGGGAGTCACAGGCTTTGGAAACTTGCTGTGGAACATGTCACTGTTGTCCTTAATCTTGCCCAGACATAGAGGGCAATTCATTGTCACAGCTTGTAGTCAGGAGTCTCTGAACTCATACAGGCCTCCCCACTGTGCCTGCCACAGCCGCTAACCAGAGTACTCCACCTCTCTGCCTCACAGCCTCTTCCCAGGGGCTTTCTCCTGATGCCACTAGAACGGCAATGTCTTTGTGTATTTGTTTCACTGAAGACTCTCCCCAGCTCCACGGTCCACACACTTCCCTCATAGCAAGCACACACACTAGACCAGCCTGCCATCCTCTTTTGCCTCAAGATCTCCTTCTCCCATGCCTGTCTCCTTTCTCTAAACATTATGAACTGCCTAAGGCCACCACCGTCCATACAGCGCAGCATAGTCAACTGCAGCCGCCACTGTCCACACAACACTTCACTGCTCTTCTATTTCTCTCTCAACTTCCAATCCAAACATGAGAGCGAGATTTGGCCCCTGCTCCACCTCCAGATGCCTTCCCTCTTCTTCCTGACCTGAGATCTGTGGTCCGGCTACCATGTCAAGGGAAATGACCACACAAACTGCAGTGTGCAGAACAATGTGGTGAGGGGCAAGGTCGATGGAGTAGCTGGGTGACGGGTGAACTGAGGCTCTGGTGCTGGAGTGACGAGATCACAGGGGAAGTGGAGAAACTGGGATGCTGATGAAAGGAACAGGATCCCAGGTGTGATCACCCAGGCAAACGCAAACTCAGCCCCGCCCCTTGGGGACCTGGCAGAGGCAAAGTGGCCACCCATGC